TTTTGATTTTATTTTTGATTTTTTTAAGTTAGACTTGGAGATATTTTATTGGTTAGTTTGATTAGGTAATTGTTTCGAGGCGTGAAATGGAAACTATGCGTCCAATGAAATGATATCTAGTCTTAGTAACTAAAACATAAATAAATCTAGACCGAAGTAGTGGGTGATTAGAGCGGAGCATATAGACAATAGTCTCAGTGTAAAATCCCCTAATCTTTTGCTCATTACCAAGGGCTGAAGCTAAACTTATTTTACATTTTGCATTGTAACGTATTATCGTATTTTCTTATTAACGTGAACGTCTTGGTATCGTATAGTCAGCCTAGAGGAAACCGACTTTTACATATTTTTAAGTTTATAATACGGTATCGATATTATGACGAAAGTAAAAAATAAGGCAGCGAATGTAGCTAAGGCTACAAACGTGAAAAGGTTTACTGTAGGCGATGAAAAGCAGAAACCACCCCCGGCACCATCAGTGGAAGCTGAAGCAACTGAGATCACGCCGGTACAACTGGTACCAACTCTGACTAAACGGGAACGTAAGAAGTTGGTTGACTCGGGTGTAGGTGCATTCGGAGGTAATGTGACTACGGAGCCACAGAAGCCACCAGTGAAGAAGGCGAAATCTCGAAAGGGAAAAGCCGAGAAAGCGCAACACTCGGAAAATTCAACTTCCGAGGAAGTGCGACATGCACTGGAATCAGATGTATCATCCCCACCAGTGGACACGCGCACAGCACGTAGGCGAGATCGTACTTATCATATGATAGCAAGGGATAAGAGAGCCTTCCTGAAGGACTACCAACCAATGGTACATGAATTGAGACCTACTAGGCAGCGGAAGAAAAAGCAAGCCGCAGCGAAGGATCAAAGTCATGGCGAATCAGGGGAGGATGACTCGGAGGATGATCCAATAGCACAAACACTGTTGGATCAACCCCAAATCAACGTAACGGAAGAACAACTGCGTTTCGTGGATATAGGTCCGGATGATGTGGACCATACACTGACGATTTGGAAACCAGGATGGACTCACAATTCCTGCGCTTACCCAAAACACCACTCCGACCGGCTTGGCGACAGAATTTTGATCTGGGCCATCCATACCAGACTCAGATTGAAATTCAGGAGGAGGGCCAACGAGAGTTGATCCGACAGCGGGCCAACAGGGCTTAGGTGTTTCGAAATACGTATGGAACGTACTTTCCAGACGTAATGAAGACCAAACCGGATTATACCATCTCACCGAGGTATGTGATAAATAGAGCGGTAAGAAAGTTTGGGTATGATTTGTGTAGGGATTCTAAATGTTACAATCGGCTAATATCAATGAGCACTGACGAAGGTAAGCAAGCACGCAAACTTTTCCGTCAGTTTCAAAAGATACTACCGAAGGTATTCAGAACTAGGAGAGATGGAAGTTTTGCATACTTAATTTGGTACGCAATTCGGGATCTTCTTGAAGACATTCCCGACTTGATATCAAACCATTTGGCACTCTATCAAGCCATATTGGCGTTTGAGATGTTGTCAGACAATGGAGGGGCAAACAGAATCCGATATTCTTCATCTGAAGCGCAATCTTCTCCTGGATTGGACGCAACAGCAATGTCGCGAATGGCATCGGAACAGGAGCCTAATCCAAATCCACCACCGGAAGGAAATCCACAGAGTGCCCCAGAGGTATTTCCGAAGGACAAACCGACCGAAGAGCCTAAACCTGATCAGGTGGAAGCTAGAAAATATTTGTCGTCATCGGGAGACAGTTCGCCCCCAGAGACTATCTCAACGACGACAAAAGATGCTGTCCCATCAGAAGCGTTCATTCACATTGAACAGGTCGATGGATCAAAGGATGAGGCAGACAACTGACTGCCTGGTCAGATGCAATTAGAAAAGAAGGGATCAGATCACTCTAGTAGTGATCTGAAAATTGCTGAATTCACTGTTCAAATGAACAAGGCTGAGGCAGCTTCACTCGAGGCGATGGATCTAGGTAGGATTGATGCCGCTAGTCTTTATATGACAATGGCTACGCACCTCCAGACTAAGATTGATTCAGAACTAAGAGTGATTCAGACCGAGAAGGCTGTGGAAGGCAAGAAGATTGTAAAGGACATAGGTAAACTACCGTATTCACAATCACTTACCCGACATGTTGTCTCGCTTCGTACCAGACTTTAACAAGATGGATAGGGAGTTACTCGCTACAGATTGGATGGACAATCCTAGTGGCTTAAGATCGCTGACAACATATATGGACCACATACCATAGATATGTTTGCCGCTCATCATAATGCACAACTGCCGAGGTACCGGACACTGGAACATCCGAAAGGAGACGGATTCCAGATCGACTTGTCTAACGAGAATGCCTGGGCGAATCATCCATGGTTATTAATACCACAGTTGCTAAATTATGTACACATTTAAGATGCTACCATCACGTAGTGTTGTTCCCTAAGACACTCAGATAAATGGCTACCACAGTTGATCTCAATGATACAATGTGAGCCGATCTATGTGGATAGAAAGATAAATACTTTTCTCTACCAGGGTACCCGTGCAGTCCAAAAGACGCCTTGGCGACATACTATAATATGTCGAATAGGTCCAGTTGGAACAACCAAGTGGACACCATCCGAGACTTTCAAACAGAAGGTTGAGGAATCCAAGATTCCACTCTTGATTCCTAAGTCTCAATGAGAGACTTGGACAACACAAGCACCTGCAGTATGTGTTTCCGAGATACAGCCAAATTCAAAGGAATCAAAGAGGAGCGCAACACTCGCGAAAGCCTTCTACAACAAGACACGGTCTGACAGGGAAACTGCATACCAAGCAGAAACTCGATTGCTTAAGCAATTGATGAATGACTTTCCCGAGGTATATGATCATGTGACCCAACTAATGGATAGATCAAACATTAGTCGGATTCACGATGTAGAAGCTTTAGGCGAGATTGGACAAGTCGAGTCTTCGAGTCCAGATGATGACGCGGTGGAATGCTCACCTCCTAATTTTTCAATGTAGCAAGTAAATCATAGGAGGCGATTCTGAAGTGGTTAAGACAAAATCATGCTCTTAAGCACATGGATATGGTTAGAACTGAGAAAGATTGCAAGAGGTACGGAATCGTACACCCGAACCTCAAGCAATATATATCTCAGGTGTATCACGAATGTAACAACTGCGAAGTTAACCGGATCAAGCGCTACGGATACGCACCTTTACGCAGCGTATCAGAAGACGAGCCGTGGCGCCGGGTTATCAATGATTTGGTTGAGCTACCCACGTCCGAACACACGAAGGATAAATATGTCTGTCACGTGTTTTTTGTCGCATCAAGATATAATGTTTTGTATCCGCTGAAAGATAAATCGACACAAACTGTGGCTGAGTGCATATATTAGTGCTTCGCAGATATCGGCTGGCCAGCTATTGTATGTTCCGACAACGATAGTGAGTTTACAGGAGATGTCATGACGACACTGTTAATCGTTGCGGGATCATGCCATAAGATGGGTGTACCTTACAAGCCTCAGACACACGGTGCGAACGAGGTACGACACAGAAAGATGAAGAGTTCATGCGAGCAGCACTACTTGATGATGCTGACATGTGTGGCCGTACTCAATCAATTGGGTATAGACACAGATGAACGAATCCCCTGATTCAGTCACTGGTACAACACCCGCTCACTATTTCCGGGGCCGTTATAGTGAATTACAGACCCCCTTCAACAAGGAGTCTCAAGATGATCATGTGTTACCATGGTTAGAGAAGATGCATCGGACCAGAGATGTGGTCTATCCTTGCTTAAGGGAGATGAAGTGTAGTAAAAGTCCCCTTAAACCACTATCAGTGTGGAGTTAGAATTAGTTTACAATTAATTCACACGAGGTGAATTATTTGTAGACACGTAGACAATCAAATATAAGAATAAATACACCGCACTGAGCCTCAGGGAGACTCAGTAGGTTTTAGTATCTTATTTTGATGTGTTTACTACAAGAGCGTATGAGCACCTCACGCATGGCTACAAGGCTTGTTCTGGGTTGGGATACTCTCGGGTCTATGCGTGTCTTCTCTTGCATCCGTTCCACTTTTTTTGTGGGACATGAATGGCCAGAAACAGCATGCGCGCTCCCGGAGTTCAATTCCGGTGCATTACCTTAGTCATACGCCACATCAACGGGTTAGATTGCAAAGGCAGTCGTGCGCTTGAGAAGATTACCGAGGCTTATAACGGGGCAAATGGACATGGCCCTGTATAAGAACAATATCAATAGAACGGAAAAATAGGGGATCGAACTAACGTCCGAGGAACCATAAAATGGACGCAGGCAATGGTAAAGGTTCGGCAATCGATACGTCTACATGGGCAGGTTAATGTGGCAAGTGGACATGGCCCTGTAGGAGAACAATAGAAATAGAACGGAAAGATAAGGGGATCGAACAAACGTCTGAAGAACCATAAAATGGACGCAGGCAATGGTAAAGGTTCGGCAATCGATACGTCTATATTGGCAGGTTGTGCTTTCAGCCCGAGAGATTCATATCCGTAACTCGAACACCAGCAGTCCTTCTGAATCGAAGTATATAAATGCCTTCCGTATCTCATAAAACATACATCTGTAGCCACTCAACAGCAGACATGTGTAGTAACCAACTATGTTTTCAAGCTAGTCAACGTCGCAATAGGGGACACTATCGAGCGATCGGATCTTTTAATTCATCGCCGTTCGCATCTTTCTGTCCGCCCCAGCTTTCCGGTTGTGGTTGCCGAATCTGCTTTTGTTCTTATCCCTATACGCCTTGTCTCGGTCACTCAGCTCATCGTTCTTCACCCCGCTAGGCCCATTTGTTAATCCTCCCCATCCTCTGCCACGACCCTTCCCACTCTCCCCAGTATTCGCAAACGAGCCACCAAACGTACCCGACTCCGTTTTAGTATTGCTATGACTATTATTGGATAATTGGTCACTACTGTCGCCGGTAGTACCTACTCTGCCTCTTCCCCTCCCCCTACTCGGTGCTTGCGAGCCCGAAGTCCCTTTATTCGTGTCTTTAGCCCCCCCCTTCTGTTTCCCCCTGCCTCTACCTGAACTATCACTACCGCCACTATTACCGCTTTTACCACCCGCTTTCTTGTTATCGTGTCGGTTGTTCTTACCACTTTGTGTGGTGTTATGTCCACTTTGGATGTCGCCGTTATTACTACCTCCATTACTGCTATTGTTGTTGCTTTGGTTTAAACTGTTTTTGTTGTCTTGTGTACCCTGCGCGTCGGCTGTATCGTCCGCTACGCCCACCGCCAACGAATCAAACGTGTCATCGTATTCGTCGTCATACTGTGAGAAAAAAATTGAGATGAGTACTATACATACGGATAGCGAAAAATGAATTGAAGACATCTTCGCGCGTACTGTGACAAGTAAGACAGTAAGTACCGTAAAGCTTGATAAACGGACAAACCAGAAGTATCATCATACAGATAGGCATAAGACAATTGGACTCAAACGTACCATAGTACACTTAAGGCAGCAAGTATCGTGAAGCTTGGTAAAAGGACGCATCAGAAGTATCTTCGTATTTGTCATCGGCATCAGAACGTGGGAAGTCAAACAAAACCCATAACAACTACACATACAGATAAGCATACGACAATTGGACTCAAAGGTACCATAGTACACATAAGGCAGCAATTATCGTAAAGCTTGGTAAAAGGACGCATCAGAAGTATCTTCGTATTTGTCATCGGCATCAGAACGTGGGAAGTCAAACAAAACCCATAACAACTACACATACAGATAAACATACGACAATTGGACTCAAAAGATACCATGGTATTCATCTTCATAGAACGAGAACATCTTTAAATACAGATAGGACTACGACAATTGGACTCAAAAGATACCATAGTACTCATCTTCATAGAACGAGAACATCTTTAAATACAGATAGGACTACGACAATTGGACTTAAAAGATAACATAGTACTCATCTTCATAGAACGAGAACATCTTTAAATACAGATAGGACTACGACAATTGGACTCAAAAGATACCATAGTACTCATCTTCATAGAACGAGAACATCTTCAAATACAGATAGGACTACGACAATTGGACTCAAAAGATACCATCGTACTCATCTATATGCAGCGAGAGCAGCTTCACAGAGAGTGTGCTGAAGCGCAGGAGCGTATGCGGACCAAGCTTACACCCATGTATGTATATATGTATGTATGTATGTATGTATGTATGTATGTATGCATGTATGTATGTATGTATGTATGTATGCATGTATGTATGTATGTATGTATGTAACAACGGTGTTCTTATAACATGTATTTCATCCAGCCCAATGTCCTTGCCCTGTGGCATTTTGATTGTAGATTCCATTGCTTTGTACTGTTTTGGCGCCACTCCCAAACAAGTCTCTCTGTCACATAAACTATCTGTAGTGTAATGAGATGTACAAACACTTCGGTAACTAAACGAGCCCAATGGCCTGAGCGGTAGTCCAGGGAACGGATTGCTCACGAGGCGAGTTGTTATAACCTCCAAGCATGCCAAAGATGTATACGCACACCAGAAAGTGGGGCGGAGGGGGGGGGCGTGTGCAAGCAGTGTAGGTGCACACTAGAGATTAGGGATAGAGTAGAGGTTGGATGGGCATTCACAGATGATATACTACACCTCACCACTCATTCGCTAGGGTTCAAGATAGGCCGTGCAAGTGAAAGGAGACTATTGGCAGCCTGGCCCACACAATCCTCTATACGGACACACCATCCCCAGGCCAGTGAAATAGGCGGTAGCTGTAGGTAGCCATAGGGCGGTAGCTGTAATAGGTAGCCATAGGTCATCTCGCATCATCCAAGAAGACGAGACAATGCCTACCGAGTCATGCATGCACACACTAAGTAGACTAAACAATGGGGTGCATGGTCACACACATTGCCCATACCAGAGCGACATAGCAGGCTCCATACATGCAGGCGTACAATCCTGCACGAACACACATACACACACAAACACAAACACAAACACACATCTGTTGCATACCAAATCGTAAGCTTTAAACTTAGCGTTCTTATAACCCCTCATATCTACTGTGTCCAAACCCGCCTCCTTCGCCTCGTGCTTGGCAAGCCGAGCTTCCTACACAGTTACCGCAACGGCAAGGAGAAAACGTAACGGCCGGTGAATATACGTTCAACGTGAATGCACAAACGATTGATATAAAAACAGTTCCACTTCCCTAGACGGACATACTCATCAGAGGCAAAACGTACTGATTGAGATTGTATTTCAAGCGATGGACCGTACATTTTGATAACAAAACGTACTGCTTGTTTGTTTAAACGTACTGTTTGATAAACAAAACGTGCGGCTCGATTGTCAAAACATTGTGTTGGATGTTGGAATATCAAAGTGTCCTGTGCGATTGTTAAAACGTAGTGTTCTATTGTTAAAATGCAGTATTATATTGTTAAAATGCAGTGTTCTATTTTTTAAGCGTAGTGTTCTACGGTTAAAATGTAGTGTTCTATTGTTAAAATGCAGTATTCTATTGTTAAAGCGTAGTGTTCTATTGTTAAAATGTAGTATTCTATTGTTAAAATGTAGTGATCTATTGTTAAAATGTAGTATTCTATTGTTAAATCGTACTGTTCTATTGTTAAAATGTAGTGATCTATGGTTAAAGCGTACTGTTCTATTGTTGAAACGTACCTCTGCTCTATCGTGTTGATCCTGCACCGCCTGTTTGGTCAGCTCGGTAACACTCGCATCAGGCCTTGCGTATGAGGTCATATCACTGGTCTTATTTCTGCACGTGACGAAATACGCAGTGAGTGATTAGACTTACAATAGTATACATAGGTCATATCACCGGTCTTATTTCTGCACGTGACGGAATAATGAGCGAGAGATTATAATTACAATAACGTACACATGGGGCAATGCAATTGACTTTGTTTCTGTATGGGACCGGTTTCAGGGTGTAGGGTTTTAGGGTTGACGCAGTCGGCAGCAGATCGGTGTGTGTTGCATGTGTCATCTAGAGTCTAGGGTTTAGCCTTCACACATACCTTTTCCCAATGTACACAACAGTGATACCATACGTACACACATAGTTCTTCCCCTTGTACACAACAGTGATACTACACGTACACACATACTTCTTACACAAGTACACACATACTTCTTCCCCTTGTACACAACAGTGATACTACACCTACACACATACTTCTTACACTTGTACACACATACTTCTTTCCCTTGTACACAACAGTGATACTACACCTTAACACATACTTCTTACACTTGTACACACATACTTCTTTCCCTTGTACACAACAGTGATACTACACCTACACACATAGTCCTTCCGCATGTACACACATACTTCTTCCCCTTGTACACAACAGTGATACTACACCTACACACATACTTCTTACACTTGTACACACATACTTCTTTCCCTTGTACACAACAGTGATACTACACCTACACACATAGTCCTTCCGCATGTACACACATACTTCTTCCCCTTGTACACAACAGTGCCGTCGTCCAGCGTCTGGTTAAAACCTCGTTGATAGTGAACCGCGTACTCTTGTGTGTCCACCGCAGCGGCTGCCTTGCCTTTGCCCGTGCCACTGCTAGATACTGATCTCTTATCGGGTGTTGTAGTGGGTTGTTTGCTGGCGACATACGAGCTGCAGAGGTAAGCAGCGGGAGGGGGCGGAGGGGGTGGAATGTTGAATAGGATCATATGGGGTATAAATAGATATAGTATGTGTACACAGGAATCTGATTATAAGTCTAATTATGTCTATACTTGAGTTTAAAACTTTGCGGTGGTTTCGAGCGGTGGTGATGATAGGAAATTCACGAGGAAAATCGGGATATAATCGAATTGGTTTCCGATGGAAATAAATCTAGGTGCGCGTAGACTATACATATATATATGTATATATATATATATATATACACA